GAAAGACTTGTCATGTGGACCAGACAGGATTGTGAAGTGACCAGGGCTGATCATGGTTGGCTTTGTCACTGCCAACCATGCCTCACCTGCATAGCCAGGCAAACAGAAGAATAGGGCATGCCCACTCATGCTGTCCACAGGGCAGGAACCCCCACAATACAGGCTGGAATCAGGGTGCCCAGGATAAAGGCAGAGCCAGCACCACTGGCCCAAACCTGGAGTAGGGTCTCCATAGAAGCCATCCAAGCACATGGTATTGGGACTGTTCAACCCATCCAATGACAGCACTTACCTTTCACAGTGCCAGCCTGGCAGGCCTGGCAGATACATTTAAGTGGGTGGCACAACTCAGCATGCCCACTGCAGGCACAGGGCTGGCAGTGCAAAAAGCCTCAGTAGCCAGGGAGGCAGTGATCATGTTAGCAACCAGCAAGTCCTGCCTGGCACATGCACTGCCCATTCACAGGGTTACAGATGGCACTGGTGGTACCTTCAGCATGTCAGCGGCACTCTGTGGAGAGTAACAAAGCAATCAAGCCATGCAAGGAAAGGAGACGGCTGGCCTCCAACCTCATGCCTACAGGCCCTGAAAGCTCATCGCTGCAGCCGGAGGCCCAAAGCCTGCTTTCCAGACACTCAGTGGTCCCAAGTATGACCAATGATGTGAAGATGGCAGGGATGCTGCCTACACAGCAGGCCATACTCAGTGTTCAGTGAACCTTGCAGATGGCACTCACATGCTGGCAGAGGAAGGGCAAGGTTAGATTAACCTCATGGTGCTCCTGCAATCCCTAACCTGAAGCCACTTCAAGGTTGGCACATACACTCACCAAGGCCCATTCCCATGGAGCTGGGTGGAGATGTTGCAGACCAGGGGGGCACAAGCCTCAGGCATGGTGGAGGAGAGGCCTGGACTTGCTGGCTCCATGCAGTCTGCCTGGTGGAACTCCTGCCTATGCCTGAGGCCTGAGGGTACAGAGACCAGAGCACACACAATGCCTTCACTTGTGGCAGGAGCACAAGCTAGCAAGAGGGTCAAGGGAAGCCAGCCAGGGACAATCAGCTCCACTCTTTCTTGGATTGACCCTCATCCACCTTTCTTGGATTGACCCTCATCCAAGAGGGGGCATCCCTACTCCCACCCCTCAGCCCCATTTCTCTTTTCTAATCTTTTTTTTTTTTTTGAGACAGTGTTTCACTCTTGTTGCCCAGGCTGGAGTGCAATGGCACGATTTCAGCTCACTGCAACCGCCACCTCCTGGATTCAAGCAATTCTCCTGCCTCAGACTCTGGAGTAGCTAGGATTACAGATACCCACCACCACACCCTCCTAATTTTTCTATTTTTAGTAGAGACAGGGTTTCACCATGTTGGCCAGGCTGGTCTTGAACTTCTGACCTCAGGTGACCCCACCTCGGCCTCCCCAAGTGCTGGGATTATGAGCATGAGCCACCGCGCCCGGCCCTTAATCTCTCTCAAGTCCTTCAGACTTGAGTACAGCGATGCAATCTCTGCTCACTGCAACCTCCACCTCCCAGTTTCAAGCGATTTTTGTGCCTCAGCCTCCCGAGTAGCTGAGATTACAGGTGTGTGCCACCACACCTGGCTAATTTTTGTATTTTTAGTAGAGGTAGGGTTTCACCATGTTGGCCGGGCTAGTCTTAAACTCCTAATCTCTGTTTGTTTTTTTTGAGAGTCTCCGTCACCCAGGCTGGAGTGCAGTGGTGCAATCTTGACTCACTGCCTCTGCCTGCTGGGTTCAAGCGATTCTCCTGCCTCAGCCTCCCAAGTAGCTGAGACTACAGACATGCGCCACCACACCTGGCTAATTTTTGTATTTTTAGTAGAGACAAGGTTTCACCATATTAGCCAGGCTCGTCTTGAACGCCTGACCTCCTGTTTTGCCCCTCAGCCTCCCAAAGTGCTAAGATTACAGTCATGAGCCACTGTGCTTGGCCCCTTGAACTCCTAATCTCTTTTGCATCAATTTTTCCTCCATCTCCAGTGGCCCCAATCTAGTAGAGAGAGTGCCACCTCTCACTGAGAAACATTTCAGCAGCTTCCCTTTGAGCCTTCCGCCAAACAATACATTCTCCCCACATCTCTTCCCTGTTTAAATTTCTTCCATGGCTCCCCAATTCTCCTGGGAAGCCCCTCTCCTGGCCCAAAAGGTCCTATGAGATCTGGCCCCTGCCTATTTCATCTTCTGTCTTTTGCATGAGCTGTTTCCCTTGCCTGGGCTCCTCTGCCTGCACTCTCCATCTATATAAGTCTTGTTGCAACTCCAGGCCTCTACGATCCCCGACCCCCCAGTCCCACTGCATCAATCCTGTCTTGCTATAATGTATGTATCTGAGGCTGGGCACAGTGGCTCATGCCTGTAATCCCAGCACTTTGGGAGGCAAGGCGGGGTGGATCACCTGAGGTCAGGAGTTAGAGACCAGCCTAGCCAACATGGCAAAACCCCATTTCTAATTAAAAAAAAAAATTAGCTGGGCTTAGTGGCAGGCACCTATAATCCCAACTACTCATGAGGCTGTAACAGGAGAATCACTAGAACCCAGGAGGCAGAGGTTGCAGCGAGCCGAGATTGAGCCATTGCACTCCAGCCTAGGTGACAAGAGTGAAACTCCGTCTCAAAATAAATAAATAAATAGGCCAGATGCGGTGGTTCATGCCTGTAATCCCAGCACTTTGGGAGGCCGAGGTGGACAGATCACCTGAGGAGTTCAAGATCAGCCTGACCAACACGGCGAAATCACATCTCTACAAAAAGTACAAAAATTAACCAGGCATGGTGGTGCATGCCTGTAGTCCCAGCTACTTGGGAGTCTGAGGCAGGAGAATTGCTTGACCCAGGCTGTGGAGGTTGTAGTGAGCTGAGATCGCACCATTGCACTCCAACCTGGGCAACGAGAGCAAAACTCCATCTGAAATAATAATAATAATAATAAAAAAATAAATACAGTCAGGTGCAGTAGCTCACGCCTATAATCCTAGCACTTTGGGAGGCCAAGGCGGGTGGATCACCTGACGTCAGGAGCTCGGGACAAGCCTGGCCAAAATGATGAAACCCCTTCTCTACTAAAAACATGAAAATTAGCTGGTTGTGATGGCAGGCACCTGTAATCCCAGCTACTCAGGAGGCTGAGGCAGGATAATTGCTTGAACCCAGGAGGTGGAGGTTGCAGTGAGCCAAGATTGTGCCATTGCACTCCAGCCTGGGCACAAGAAAGAGACTCCATCTCAAAAAAAAAAATTATGCCTTTGCCATATGTAGGGTAGAGTCCCTAGGACCTCACAGAATCCAGATGAATGAAGCTCCCCTCAGTCCTCCACACTCCCTTGGTCTGCTACACTCTCAGTGTCGTGGAGTAGCACATTCCAGGATCAAAGCAGAAAGTTCGGATAGAACCATAGCCCTGCAGTGAATGGGGAGAGGGGTAGAGGTGAAGTGAAGCTGAAATTATCATGTGATCCCAGAATGCCTCCTCTCTCTCTCTCTTTCCTTCTTTTTTTTTTTTTTTTTTTTTTAGATGGAGGCTTACTCTGTCACCCAGCCTGTAATGCAGTGGCTCAATCTTGGCTTACTCCTGCCTCAGCCTCCAGAGCAGCTGGGAGTACAGACACAGGCCACCACTCAACTACTCAGGAAGCTGAGGCAGGATAATTGCTTGAACCCAGGAGGTGGAGATTACATCATTCTACGCCATCCTGCCTGGGTGACACAGCAAGACTCCGTCTCAATTTAAAAAAAAGAGAAAAATAAATACCCAGATTAGTGCTCATGGCAGTGGCAGCCACAGAGGTTGGGGTGGGATATGTAGAGAATCACCACTGCAGAATACCTGAGGGAGCACAGAGGTGAGGAAGGGTAAGGGTGAAGTCTTGATTCTTGTCATTTGACCATGATTTCCACCCTGCCCTATACCTCTTGCTGTAGGATCTGCAAAATTGTAGTCACAGGGCCAGCTGCCTGGGGGGTCACTGCCCAGACCCTAGAACTTGGGCTGGAGGAGACAGTAGCTGGATTGGGGAAAGGCAAGAAGATCTGGACAGGGAAAGAAGGGGAGGGGCCTGAGAGGTCTTATATTGGGACTGTCTATGGTGGGAAGGGGGTGGGTGCAGGGCCTGAATGTTTCTCTGACTGCAGCTGAGAGGGAGAGAGAAGACCATGGTATACTCCTGAATAATTTCACAGAGGGAGGTAAGAAGGAGATGAGGACACAACCAGGGTAAAGTTAAGCAGCCAGTGTGGTGGCTCACGCCTATAATCCCAGCACTTTGGGAGACCGAGGCGGGTGGATCACGGGGTCAAGAGATCGAGACCATCCTGGTCAACATGGTGAAACCCCGTCTCTACTAAAAATACAAAAAATTATCTGGGCATGGTGGCATGTGCCTGTAATCTCAGCTACTCAGGAGGCTGAGGCAGGAGAACTGCCTGAACCCAGGAGGCGGAGGTTGCGGTGAGCCGAGATCGCGCCATTGCACTCCAGACTGGGTAACAAGAGTGAAACTCCGCCTCAAAAATAAATAAATAAATAAATAAGCAAATAAATAAATAAACAAAAGAAAAGTTAAGCAAAGAGTTTGTAACATTCGAGGCAAGGTCAGGATGGAGTTATTCCTTGGACTAAATCTTCCTCTAAACATGTTTGCTACTAAAAAATCCTTTGGCGAGGAGAGGTGGCTCACGCCTGTAATCCCAGCACTTTGGGAGGCCAAGATGGGCAGATCATTTGAGGTCAGGAATTCAAGACCAGCCTGGCCAACAGCGTGAAACCCCTTCTCTACTAAAAATACAAAAATTAGCCAGATGTAGTGGCACGTGTCTGTAATCCCAGCTACAAAGGAGGCTGAGGCATGAGAATCACTTGATCCAGGAAGTGGAGGTTGCAGTGACCTGAGATCCCACCATTGCACTCCAGCATGGGTGACAGAGCAAGACAAGACTCTGTCTCAAAAAAACAAAAACAACAACAACAAGAACTTTTATATCCAGTGTATGATACATGTTTAATCACTTGCCCGTTTGTTTCCAAAACTCCCATCTGAGGGCAAATGCTGGTTCAGCTAGCTAAAGCGATGCTGACCCTAGTGACCAGATCAGTAAGCAGCACCCACCCAAGTGCAAGGCTCAGTCCACAGTCACGATAATTATAGGCTTATATTCATTATAAGGCTACAGCTCCAAGAAACTCAGTGTCCAAGGTCAAGGTTAAATCAGAAGGTGGGTCAAGCCTTACCAGACAATGGCTAAGGTCCTGTCCAGAGACCAATATTTGCAGTGACAGGTACCACTGAAGGGATCACAGACAAGTACCAAGGACCTGGCCCCTAGGGTCACACCTGCAGCCAAGGCATAGGGCTCTCAGCTTGCAAATGGAACTGCGGTAGGGTGGGTAGTAGGTGCAAGTGTTATCAGGGGAGTAACTGGCAACAGAGCCAGGAGGACATGGAGATGGGGGCCCAATCTGAGAGTCACTCACATCGGCAGCTCTGAGGTTGGGTGGAGCTCAGATCATAGTGACCGGGCCAGCAGGAGTCACAGTGCTGGCCCCATACATAGACTTTGCAGCAACACTGCCTATAGCAGAGGGCATGGGTCTCATTGATGTGACCATCACACAAATCCCCTTCCAGGACACCCACAGGGTCACAGTCACAGGATAGATCAGAGGTCAGAGATTACAGATGGAAGTAGGTCAGAGGTCACCGTGGAGCTGAAGGATGAGAGTCAATGTTGCGTTAGGGGTTGGAGGACTCGTGTCTGCAGGACCCAGGGGAACAGGGATCCTCTCGGGGATGACAGTAGAAGGGTCAGCAGAACTCACAGAGGCGCCCAGCTGTGTTGTGCTGACATGCATCATACATGCCTCCACTCCCATAACCAAACACAGCCGTGTCAAAGCGACAACTGTAGACATCCCCATGGCACTCACATTCTGAGGCAGAACCAGAAAGGTAGACATGGGGTTGGCTGACATGTGGCAGGTGCGGCCAGGCAGAGTAGAGCATGGCATCCAACCCAGCAGGCATGGGGGTGCCCAGGCTCTGATGCATACCATTGATGGTCCTGGTGCAGGTCGTGGCAGCACTCACAGTGTGCACCAACTGTTTGGTGGTGGCAGATGCAAAGCCCATGTACCTGGTAGGGAGGAGGGCAAGGCAGGCCTGCTCTGGTGTCCCAGCTTGCCCACCCCACCAGTCACAGAATGACCTTCCCATTGTCCTCACCACATTGGCTGGGGTCCCAGGTACATATCTGCACTCAGAGGTGTGCCCATGGCACAGGCAACTGCCTCTGGCTGTGAGCTCACAGAGGGCATAGTGGTGGAAAGGGGTGTCTCTTGAGGCCTCTCAGAGGCCTGTCACCCAGTGTGTGCAGTTTGGAGAAGTTTACACAGAGGTTAGTCACATGCAGGTACTCTGGAGACACAGATGGTCAGACCTCAGGTGCCTTGGTCCTCATTTTCTATGGCTGGGGAGGAGGGAAAAAAATGGAGGAAGTCTCTCCCTTCTCCACATCCTTGTATCTACTCCTCCAGCACTCATGCTATAGGGCTCTGCCATCTCTGCTCCTGGGGGAATGTTGTCTTAGGATGACCACAGCCTTCCCCATGTTGATAATTTCCACTTCTGTGGTGAGGACCCCCTTTCTCCAATCCTGATGTTACTCCTGAACTGAGACCTGCACATCCCACTACTTCCTGGATACCCCACTCTTGTATCATCGGGTATCTGAAACCTGCTTCCCTAATGCAGTAAAGGATTCCACTTACCAGCCCACAGTCCAAACTAGAAATCTATTATCATTCAGCTAAACCACATAGTATTACAATCATGCACCCATTAGATTATAATGGGGAGGAAAATTTCATATTGCCTAGTGACATGGTGGCTGTTACAATTTTTTTTTTTTTTTTTTTTTTTTTTTGAGATGGAGTTTTGCTCTTGTTACCCAGGCTGGAGTGCAATGGCACGATCTCAGCTCACTGCAACCTCCGCCTCCTGGATTCAGGTAATTCTCCTGCCTCAGCCTCCCGAGTACCTGGGATTACAGGCATGCGCCACCATGCCCAGCTAATTTTTTGTATTTTTAGTAGAGACGGGGTTTCACCATGTTGACCAGGGTGGTCTCGATCTCTTGACCTTGTGATCCACCCACCTCGGTCTCCCAAAGTGCTGGGATTACAGGCGTGACCCACTGCACCTGGCGGTGGCTGTTATAATGCTGTAGCACAATACATTTACTCACGTTTGTGGTGATGCTGTGTAAACAAACCTACTGCACTGCTAGTCATATAAAAGTACAGCACATACAATTATGTACAGTAGGCCAAGCATAGTGGCTCACACCTGTAAATCCCAGCACTTTGGGAGTCCAAATCCAAGGGGGATGGATCACCTGAGATCAGGAGTTGGAGACTAGCTTGATCAACATGGCAAAACCCCATCTCTACTGAAATAATACAAAAAATGAGCCAGGCATGATGGCAGATGCCTGTAATCCCAGCTACTCTGGAGGTTGAGGCAGGAGAATTGCTTGAACCTGGGAGGCAGAGGTTGCAGTGAGCCGAGATTGTGCTACTGCACTCCAGCCTGGGACAGAGCAAGACCCTGTATCAAAAAAAAAAAAATTATGTATAGTACATAATACTTCGTAATAAATGACTATTACTTCTTTATGTATTTACTATGCCATACTTTCCATCATTATTTTAGAGCAAGTGTCTTCTAGTTTATATATATATTTTTAAAGATGGGGTTTCACTGTGTTGGTCAGGCTGGTCTTGAGTTTTTCTTTTTTTATTTAAAACCTCTCCCTCCTGGGTTCAAGTGATTCTCCTGCCTCAGCTTCCTGTGTACCTGGGATAACAGGCATGTGCTACCATGCCTAGCTAATTTTTGTTTTTTTAGTAGAGACAGGGTTTCACCATGTTGGTTAGGTTAGTCTTGAACTCCTGACCTAGTGATCCACCCGCCTTGGCCTCCCAAAGTGCTGGGATTATAGTGGGATTATAGGCGTGAGCACCCAGCCAACTTCTTTTTCTTTTTAGAGGCAAATTCTATGTTGCCCAGTTTGGACTGGGATTCCTGGACTCAAGCAATCCTCCCATCTCAGCCTCTTGAGTAGCTGAGACTACAAGAATGTACCACCATGCCCAACTTTCCTTCTACTTTTTAAATATAAATTTAATTTATTTTGAGACAGAGTCTCCCACTGTAGCCCAGGCTGGAGTGCAGTGGCATGATCTCGGCTCACTGCAGTCTCCACCTCCTGGGTCCTGGTTCAAGCAATTCTCCTGCTTCAGCCTCCCGAGTAGCTGGGATTATAGGCATGTGCCACCATGCCCAGTTAATTTTTGTATTTTTAGCAGAGACAGAATTTCACCATGTTGGTCAGACTGGTCTCAAACTCCTGACCTCATAATCCACCTGCCTCAGCCTACCAAAGTGCTGGGATTACAGGTGTGAACCACCTCGCCTGGCCTTCTACTTTTTAAATAAAGGTAATTGTAAAACATGGTAGGGCACTGTAGCACATGCTTGTAATCCTAGAACTTTGGGAGAACAGGTGGGCAGATAGCTTCAGCTCAAGAGTTCAAGACCAGCCTGGGAAACATGATGAAACCCTGTCTAGACAAAAAAATTAAAAAATTAGCCGGGCATGGTAGCACAGGCCTGTGGTCCCAGGTACTCGGGAAGCTGTAGTGGGAGGATCACTTGAGCCTGAGAGGCAGAGGTTGCAGTGGGCGGAGATGGTGCCACTGCACCCCAGCCTGAGCAACAAAGTGAGATCCTGTCTAAAAAAAAAAAAAAAAATTAATTGGAAAACAGTCTCAGGCAGGTCCTTCAGAAGGTATCTAGAAGGTGGCATTGTTATAACAGATGACAGCTCTAAGCATGTTATTGCCCCTAAAGATCTTTTTCAGTGGATCAAGATCTGGAGGTGGAAGACAGTGATACTGATGATCCTGATCCTATATAGCCTAGGCTAATATGTATGTTTGTGTCTTCGTTTTTAACAACAAAGTTAAAAGGTAAAAAAAATTTAATAGAGAAAAGCTTATCAAATATGGATATAAAGGAAATATTTTTGCACAGCTGTACATGTGTCTTAAGCTAAGTGTTATAAAAGCTGTAAAAAGTTAAAAGTCTGTAAAGTAAAAAAATTCAGTGTTTACTATTGAAGAAGGAAAAAATTTGTTTTTATAAATTTAGTGTAGCCCAAGTATACAGTGTTTATAATCTACAGCAGTGTACAGTAATGTCTTGGGTCTTCACATTCACTCACCACTCCTCACTAACTCACCCAGAACAACCTCCAGTCCTGCAAGCTCCATTCATGGTTAAGTGCCCTATACAGGTATACCATTTCTCATCTTTTATACCACATTTTTTTTTTTTTTGAGATGAGTTTCACTCTTGTTACCCAGGCTGGAGTGCAATCTCCGCTCACCACAACCTCCGCCTCCTGGGTTCAGGCAATTCTCCTGCCTCAGCATCCTGAGTAACTGAAATTACAGGCACGCACCACCATGCCCAGCTAATTTTTTGTATTTTTAGTAGAGATGGGGTTTCACCATGTTGACCAGGATGGTCTCGATCTCTTGACCTCAGGATCCACCCTCCTTGGCCTCCCAAAGTGCTGGGATTACAGGCTTGAGCCACCGTGCCCGTCTTATACCATATTTTTACTGTACCTTTTCTATGTTTAGATACACACTTCTCATTGTGTTACAACTGCCTACAGTTTTCAGTACAGTCACATGCTGTAGAGGTTTTAGCCTAGGAGCCATAGGCTATACCAGATAGTCTAGAAGTATACTAGGCTATGTACCATGTAAGTACACTCTAGATGTCTGCACAACCATGAAATTACATAATGACACATTTCTCAGAATGTATCCCCTATCATTAAATAATGCATGGCAACAGATGTGTCTTTCTGACTTTATGTCCGCTCCAAGAAGGTAGATAACTTTTCTGTCTGCTTCCCATCAAACACTGCCCAGAAGATGCCTGACAGAGGGTGCAGCTCAATGGGTGATTGTTAAATGAACACATGGATAAAGGAATGGGTCCATGGCTCCTCTCCCTGCTCCACACCTTAGGTTGGTTACTAAGCTGAGACTACCTCCTGTATCTTTCCTCTGCAGGACTCCCCTCTTTTCTGGTCAAAGGTGAAAACAACAGCAGCTTGCAGACCTACCATGAGGGCTCAATGTGGGCAGCTGGCAATAATGGCAGTTAGGGGGGCAGGGAGTGCCCAGTGGGTGTAGAGAAAAAGCTAGTTTGGCATTTGTCCTGTGCTGGTACTCTCCTGGCCTGATTCTGGGCTCTCCTAGGTTATTTGGCTCTCTTATCCTTCAATAAAAGACTTCTTTACAAAGAAGGTGTTATATCCAGAGATACCTTGGTGCCACCTAGAGGCAGCTGCAGGGACAAAGGGCAGAGGCCAGGGTCATGAATGGATTTGGAGGGGCAATGACAGGAAGTCCATGATAGGGGAGTGATGGGGGCCCACAAAGGGAAGAGTTATGAGGGGCAGTGATAGGAGTGGAGATGGGGAACAGGTATGAGTAAATGAGGAACCATGATGGAGCCTTACAAAGGGATTCAATGATGGGGACAGAGACAGGGGACAGATGGAGACTGTTCCCCATGCCAGTACCAATACACTGGGTACAAGTATGCAGCACAGTGATGGGGCATAAACGGGAGGCCACAAAAACACCATGATGGGGCAGGGCTGAGGAATGGCCTTGGGAGACTGAGCTGGCTTGCCGACTTGCCCTGCCCCACCAGTAACCACTTGAGGCCGGGCCTCTTTCCCCGGTATCTGCAAGCTCTGTCCTGACACACAAAGGGTACATACAGGATTGCCTCTGGGGATGATTACCCTGAATCTCAGAGTTGTTTGGGTCCTCCACTGGAATGGCTGGGCCCAAAACTTTGAAAATTACCTGGAAGAAAGAAGCAGGTTTGAGCCTTTTATTTCACTCCACGGTCCAACCTCCCTTTCCCTGGGTCTGACCTTGCTGTCAGTGGCAGGCTCAATGTCTGAGTAATGCCAGTCACAGATGAGGTCACTGACTTGATGGCTAGGGGCAGGAGCAATCCCAAGAAAGAGTCTTGGGCAGTTGTCGGCAAAGTATCTATACCTGTGCCAACAGAGGCATGGTCCACTGAGTGCTCAAGGAGCACAGCTGCTGGGGGGAATGCCTGGGGACAAGAGGGCCCTTGAGTCACCAGGGGCAAGCATCACTAGTGGCCATCAAGTAGGGAAGCATAGGGTCAGCACTTGCTAAGCAAGCCTTTAGACTGGGACATTGGGTCACCTGGAAAGTCTTGAGGTGGGTGAAGTAGAAGGCACCCTCTAGGTCTAGCTGGATGGTGACATTTTCAACACCTGCAGCCACAGGTCTAGTCAGTGACCAGGCCCTGGCCCCAGCCCCTACACATGGGCACACTGCATCCTCACTACTCTGTCTACCAGGCCTTGTTGCCACCACAGCCACTCTGGGAGGTCACATTTTATTAATGTCACGGCCTCCCTGGCCACAAGAGTCACAGAAGCACTTCTGAGTCCTGGGCTCTGACTCGAGGAAACTGACTAGAGAGGTCAGACCTCTACTCTTAAAATTTCACAGTACAGGCCTCTCCCTCCAGCTCCCAGCAATGACCTAGACTCCCAACAGGACTGAACCAGCCCAAGTCACCTAAAGAAACCAGTCTCCAGATCCCTCACCTGCAGGTCAATAAAGCAGTGCTCAGAGCCTACTGGATGAAGTTTGAAGGCTCTGGCTCTGGCCCCAGCCAACAACCAGGTTGCTGATGCAGCCAGGTGAGGAAAGTGTATGTGGCATTCCCTGGGAAATTGTTCTAGGAGCCTGGACTAGGACGGGCAGGATCTGACTAGAGATCCTAGGAATACCCACACCCTCTCACCCCAACCCATAAGGAACCTTGATTTCTTTTTTCTTTCGAGATGGGAGTTTCGCTGTTGTTACCCAGGCTGGAGTGCAATGGCACGATCTCGGCTCACCGCAACCTCCATCTTCTGGGTTCAAGCAATTCTCCTGCCTCAGCCTCCCGAGTAGCTGGGACTACAGGCGCACACCACCATGCCCAGCTAATTTTTGTATTTTTAGTAGAGACAGGGTTTCACCTTGTTGACCAGGATGGTCTCGATCTCTTGACCTCATGATCCACCCGCCTCGGCCTCCCAAAGTGCTGGGATTATAGGCGCGAGCCACCACGCCTGGCCTCTTTTTTCTTTTTTTGAATTTTGAGACAGAGTCTCAAAAAAAAGCCGCACCATCTCAGCTCACTGCAAACTCCACCTCACAGGTTCAAGTGATCTCCCAGCGTCAGCCTCCCAAGTAGCTGGGACCATAGGCATGTGCCACCATGCCCTGCTAATTTTTGTATTTTAGTAGACAGCATTTCACCATGTTGGACAGGCTGGTCTCAAACTTCTGACCTCAATTGACCCACCTGCTTCAGCCTCCCAAAGTGCTGGGATTACAGGCATGAGCCACTGTGCTTGGTCATGAACCCTGATTTCTCCTTCCCCTGGCTGTCCTGGAAATAGATGACCCCTCACCCACTGGTGGCAGCAGCAGCAGAACTGGAAGTGGGGGGCCCAACCCAGCTGGCAGTCCTGGGTGCTAGGAGCTGGAATCAGGCCTGAGAGGGAAGACGCTTAGTGAGCCCCACGCTGGGCTCCCCTGAGGAGCCGAGTGTGGTTCTCAGGTCATTTCCCATATTTACATCAGGAATGGAGTTGTCAGAGGCAAGTAGCATGCAGGGTCGTGGGGCGACAGCATAGCTGGGAGCAAGGTCCCAGAGCTTGGGAAACCAAGGACACACCCAGGAGAAGCATGTCAATAGAGCCACAAGATGCAGAAAGGGCAGGAGGGCACCAAGAAGCACACAGCTTCTCAACAGGTCCACTGCCCAGGGCAGCCAGCAGCTTGTGGGGCCCACACAAATCCAGACACAGAAAACCTCTCTCACTCAAATGAAGTCCCTACCCCAGGAAGGGGAATGTGTGCCCTCCCTGCCCACCCCAGCCACTGCCGTTCAGCCTGGGCAGCCAGTGATGGACTTTAGATGGGCAAGTTACCTCCTTCAGGTCCCAGGGCCCAGTCCCCCCTCTAAAGCAGGAAGGGTGACAATGTATTTTAACCCATGTTGGAGGGCATGCTGAGGCTGGACCTTGGAGTAGAATGAGCACTTCAAATCCAGGCAGAAAGCACTGCTAATGAGGCAGTCAGAAAAACCTCACCCAACCAAGTAGAAAATTCTTTGGTCGAGGGAAGGCTCTGTGGTCCTGACTCAACCTCCAGTACCTTGCCACCAATCGACATTGAGGACAGTTACTCTCTCCCAGGAGAGCAGAGGGGGAGAGGCACCTCAACTCTTTTAGGCCTGGTCCCATACCAGAAAAGCCCAGGCCAAGCTCCAAGATTTTAGCCAGGCTATCTGCCTGGCCCCTAGGGAGAAGTACCATAAAGGTTCTATTTCAGTGCCTAAAAACCCACCAGCTGCAAGGTTGCTCATGGAACTGCCTACTGTGTGGGTTCTGACTGGATCACCAACCACAGCAGCCTCCAAAGGGAAGTGTCTTACTCCACAGTGGCTCTGCTCCTGCCTTCAGGGGATACCTCTCACACAAACACAGAAGCCAATCTCCCCTCCTCTCTCCAGAGGGGCCCAGGAGCTGCCTATTTCTGGGACCACTTTCCCTATATCTTCAAACTGGCCCGCCGGCAGCCACACACACAAAAAAGACCATGGAGGGTGGGCAGGGAGACTGGAAGGTGGAAAGGTATAAAACGTGATAGATGGAACAGTGGACATACAACTTGAATAACAAGTCACAGTGCATCGCGCCATGAAAACACCCCTCCCACCAACCCACCCCACCCCGCCCCGCCCCACCCACATCCTCCAGTTTCTAAAAGGAGGCTGGTGGTCACCAGGGCCCTGGAGAGGTACCCGGAGTCCTCAAGATTGTGGAGTCCATGGGCATAGCACACTGTGCCACTGGTCATATAGACAGCTGGGCCCAGTTTCCCCAAACATTGTTTTGTGAAGGAATCAGAGTGCTGAATATGGTAGCAACGGCTGGAGCCGTATTACAGGAGACAGGTTCACACGGAGAATCTGCTGAGCCCGCTGCCGCACCTCATCATCTGAGGACCGCCTATCTACTTTTATGGCACGGAACTTTAGCAGCTTTGCTGTTCCAGGCCCTAGCCATGCTTTAGGAGATCGGGGACCAAGCTGTGTTCTCTTCTTGGGAAGAAGATCTTTTGCCTCCTCAGTCCTTTTTCTCTTCTGTCCAACAGTCTCAGGGCGGCTTTTCTGGCCCTTCCTTGTAGTTCTGGCCTGAGCAGACCCCTTTGGTCTGCCCCTGCCCCTGCCCCTGGGCTGGGTCTGAGCCACCTTGGCCTGTGCTGCCTTGGCTTTAGCCTTGGCCCGTGCTGCCATGGCTTTGGCCTTGGCCCTGGCTCGTGCTGCCTTGGCTTTGGCCTTGGCCTTGACCAGTGCTGCCTTGGCCCTGGCCTGGGCCTTGGCAGCTTTGGCCTGTGTTCGTGCCACCGTGGCTTGGGCACAAGCAACTTTGGCCAGTGTTCGAGCTGCCTTGGCCTGGGCTGTTTTGGTGCCCAGGGCAGAGCCCCCTTTCATTCGCCGGACACTGAGGGACCCAGTGGCTCTGCTGGTTTTGCTCTGGGGCCCAGCCCCAGGACCTTTGCGAATCAGACACTTAGGACCCTTGCTTATGTTTTTTCTGGGAGCTTTGGGCCGGGGGTTCCCTGGATCCTTCCCTGAACTTTTCCGCAGTTTCAGAGGAGAGTCTGCAATTGAGAGTTGCAGTGACTGTGCCTTGTGCTTGGCACCCAAGCAGGGCATAGGAGTCTTGAGTGGAACCAGGGCCTCAAGGACAACAGAGAGCCGCATGGCAGGGTAGACACCTGGATAAAGGTGGGTAGGGAAGCCCACTGCTGCACCCTGGGCATGGCTGGCACTTGATTGCTTCAGAGAGCTCAGCAGCAGGTTGGTGGTAGCATGCTTGGCAAGGGCTGGTGTGGATGCTTTGGCCAGCCTGCCAGATAGCGGCATGGGAAGCAGTGTGGCACGACTGGCGGGCAACCGCATGGCAGTTCGGGGAGCACTGGCTGGAGGTGATGTGCCAGTTGGGTTGGGAGCACGAGCTTGCAGTTTCGTCTGGCTTGGGGGATTAGCTGTGCATGAACTATAGCCATAGACATCACCACTGCGCAGAATGGTAGGTTGGAAGCCATCATCTCGCAGGCCCTGCAGGAAAGCCACAAGCTGAGCCTCTGTGGCACTGAGATCCTGGCTCATGGGATTAAAGACAAGCAGCGCCTCTTCCAGGGCCTTCTTCCCTGCCGTGGAGATGCGTGACCAGGAGTGCACAGCTTTTTCCTCCACATGCTGAACCACCACACTCATGGCATTAGGCACTGCAGATCCGCCTGGGTATCCGCAAACCAGCACTTGGCACCTCCAAGACAAGAGGAAAAGAGTCAATAAGAATGGCACTAAGACAGGGAGCCAGAACACGTAGACAGGTCAATCAGTGCCCCAATCTCCACGAAATTGAGGAATCTGGCCAGAGTGAGACCCTTCCTGGTGTAAAACCCTAGTCGCCTGACCCTCTACCTTGCTGGGGTGGGAGGAGTGGGTCAGGGTCAAGCTTCTTCAAGATAGATGCTCAGAAACACCTCAGAGCCATCAACCTGCTGCTGGGTCCCTGAAAAGATTTGAGACTGGTATATTTTAATTAAACTATGTATTTTCTGAGGCTAGAAACCTAGAATTACTCAGCTCTGGCAATATACAGGCAATATCCCTGTCCTCAAGGAACCCATTAAGATTCTTGGGAGTGAATGTTGGCACCCAGCTCAGTTTCCCAATGGGTCAAGGAAGGATTCCTGGGAGAGGCAACACCTAGCTAGGATATGAGTGACTAATGGAAAAGGATCAGATGGAAATGGAGCAAAAAGGAGAATAGCTAATCCAATAGCTCGTGAGAAAGAGTTAGGCATACTTGGTGTGGGATCTGGGGTCTAGGTGGAAAAACAGGCAAGGATAGAACAACATAGAGCCTTGAATGTCAGCCAAAGGGCCCAGACTTATACCCACTACCCATGCCCATCTGTTTCTCCAGCTGCTGTTGTTCAGGTGTGGAGCTGGAGTGGGGTGGGAGAATTTCCCTGCCCACCAGAAGTTCTGTTTTCACAATCTCCAGACAGGCTACTCAGAAACCCATTTTCTAGCTCCAGAGGCATGGAGACCAAATCCAGGGAAAGAGTGTTTCTTCAACAGAAATTAAAACGCTGATGAGTAGCAGGTGCTAATGACATCTCTCTAGGCGACCAGGAAGACAGGGGACCAGGCTGCCAGACCAAGAACCCAAGGTCTAAGGGCAATAGGAGCCAAAGGCTGCAAGTAGGATGGTGATTCAAGGGGACATTAGCGGTATGAACTGTCCTAAGACTTGGAAGGTCACAGACCTCAGTACAGCACAGATGGAGGTGACTAAGAACACCCAACTAGTCCCAGACTTCTTTGAAGAAGCTGTGGCCATCAATCATAACATCTAATACCCAACCCAACACTGAGGGCTCCCAGAAGCAGGAGGCAGCTCCCTGGCAGCACCAGAGCATTAAAAGATCAGCCAGGATCAGGCAGGTCCCTGGAGCTATGAGGCCTGTCTGTGTAGTTTCTTCCAACCGCTCTAATGCAGCAGATGAAGTCTTCAGAATACCCTGGAGGAAATGCCCTGGGGCTCTTTGTTTGGAAACATTCTTGGATCCTCAGGTGTCTTGGGCACTTCCCCTCCCCAGAGACCGTTCTCCAAGCACAATCCTTGCACATAACTTTAGTTCTTTATTAATTTTTTTTGAGGGGGTGTAGTTCCCAGAGCTGTGAACTGTAGAATAGAGAGGCACCTATTTCCTACCCTCACACACCCCGACGCCAAGTATTTGGGGTGACCTGGGGCTCTTCCACCCAGGTTAGGCTGGACTCTTGGGAGGGGTTTTCTGGGCCTTCAAGAAGCTTCAGAACCAGAGGCTGCTGCCGGGCCCCCGGGGGAGGGCAGGGGAAGTCGACGGAAGATAGGGGGGTGGGAGAAGCTCCATACAGGCGGACCCGGAGCAGGGGCATATCGGGGCCCTCAGGCTGGAAGTCTGCGTTCTTAGGGCGCAAACCGCGAGGCGGGGGTCACGGAGGCAGCGAAATGTACAAGGTGAACGGTGCTAGCCCGACCGGGACCACGCAGCCCCAGGGTGGGGTCGCTGGGCGCGGGGTGGGGGTGGGGTGGGCGTCTCGGCCAGGCCAGCGGAGGACGCGGGTCCGGGAAGAGTCAGCCGCTTGCCTGTCCGCCCTGCCGCCTCGCGGGCCGCCACTCCGCGGCGCGGCTAGGCCCGCGGCTCCAACCTACCGGCGCCGCCACAGGGACCCAAGACGCGCCTCTGCGCCGCCTCCGCTGCTCCAACATGGCCGCCCGCTGCGCGCCGGAAGTGCACTGCGCTTCCGCTTCCGGTACCCAGCCCGCCCTAGTGACCCTTGAACCCCGATACCCCATTTCCCCACAAAGTCTGGGGGCGGAGCAGATTGGGTACCAAGGAGGACTGCCCGGAGGTGGCGGCCCCAGTGACGGCTCCAAACCCGTTCGGTCCTGTGCAGAAGTCTGAAGAATAGAGGTGCCTTCTGAAGCGGCCCCAGGCTAGAACTTAATGGAGCCTCGCTAAGACTGGATTATAGGGGTCATCTGACACCTTTTCTGAGGGGACCTGGTGGTGCATTGACATCTAGGAGGGACTCCTGGCAAGGTTCAGGCCATCTTCCACCCTCTGATCTTCCTTTATCTACTAACAAGGCCCAGTTCAGTTCCAGACAGCTGACCAGGGGGTCAAAGAGGAGTGCCTCCTGACAGGGAGTCTTAGGGGAACTCCTTTGTTTTGCAGTAAGGGTATCTCCTCCAAGGAGAGCAGGCCTTCTTCTCTTCCTAAGAATAAGACCCATAGCACATGGCATGAAAAGCTGGTGTGCAGGTGATCACAAATGCTGCATGCAAGCCCAAGTCTGGGAGCTCCAGTATACCACTGTGGCCCTGAGTGTACTTGCCCAGGCATGTGGGGACAGGTGTAGCAAGGAGACACTGGCCCAGCCACAGCCCCTCAATGGCAGGGAGTTCTGCCTCCATAACACTGCCCAGAACCCCTTTCCTTTTGCCTAGGAGTCTGAGACCTCAGTCTTTTTACCTGTGCCCTTGGGCTAGTCCAGGGGTGGTGCTTATAGGACCCACTGTACAAGCAGCACCAGATTAGAGAACACAGGTCAAAATCAACCCTAGGGGTCTGTGACTTCGATGAGAGGTCAGAATGGTCTCCACAGTTCTGACTAAAGGTCCCATTAGTCAGAGGTTCCCAAGTCCAGGTTGGGAGCCATCCTGAGAGCCCGGGTTTCATAGATGAGTTAATGGGGGCATTTGCACTTGTGTCAGAGCCTGAGCCAGGAAACAGAAATACTGTTAGAACTCTTGGACCCTGACCCTTGCAGTGGTACCTTATTTGATAGTTGGAGTCAGGTGGAAGCCTATTGGCAATCACAAGAGGGTGGTGGGATGCTTCATTTAGGGACTAGATACTAGCCCTTCTTCCTGCCCATGTGACCCCAGGATCCTCTGGTTGCTCTGTATTTCCCATGCTTATACAGAACGGTCCAGGCACTCCTAAAGACAAGTGCCTACTCCACCCAGCAGTGCCATAGGCCTCACGTTAGCTTCCCAGGGCCTTGGCACTGATGGTGAGGTTCTCAGTGCCTTTAAGTGTAGCCAAGGTTTCCAGCAGGAATTGCAAAATCTCCTGTTCCTCTGGGGTCAGTGCTTCTAGCCTTTTGTCCTGATAGAGAGAAAGGAAAAATGGGGTCCCAAGGGCCAGGGTCTCATGGGGTGCAGTCAGGAAGCCCCACCTTGGTGATCCCAGCCCCCAACTGTGGGTGAGTCCCATCTCTGACCCTGTCCATGGTTGAAGATTGATTGTTCAATCTCAGGACCAATTTAACCAGTTTTTTTTTTTTTTTTTGAGACGGAGTTTCGCTCTTGTTACCCAGGCTGGAGTGCAATGGCGCGATCTCGGCTCACTGCAACCTCCGCCTCCTGGTTTCAGGCAATTCTCCTGCCTCAGCCTCTTGAGTAGCTGGGAATACAGGCACATGCCACCATGCCCAGCTAATTTTTTTGTATTTTTAGTAGAGACGGGGTTTTACCATGTTGACCACGATGGTCTCGATCTCTTGACCTTGTGATCCACCCGACTCGGCCTCCCAAAGTGCTGGGATTACAGGTGTGAGCCACCATGCCCGGCCTCAACCAGTTGTCTTTTACAGCTTCTTCAAAGCCAGCAGTGTTGGTCTCCTGTGTGCAGGTGAGCTGTAGGGTCCAGCCCTACAGGGTTCTGTGAGCCCCTCCCTGCTGGTGTGGAGATGAGAAATTGTAAAAATAAAATACACAAGACAAAGAGATAGAGAAAAGAGAGTTTGGGCCCGGGGGTCCACCCTTTGGTTAGCAGTCCAGCAGTGGCCCCGAGTGTCTGCACACTCTGACTTTTATTGAGTTGCAAATCTGGGGGCAGGGTAGATGGGGCGTGGCAGTGATAGGGTCAAGTATATCACGTGTCATGCAGGTAGGGGTCAGGAATTTTCAGCAGCTGAGATGAGGTAAGGGCCATAATGCGTCAGCACTTTTTCCATACTTGTCACAAAGTTATTAAGAGTTATGTTACTTTTACTGATTAATTCTTACAAGAAAAAAGGAACGTGTTCCATGTCAATCTTATGATCGGTGGAGAAGCCAATCATAAGATTGACATGGAACGTGACCACTGAAGCACAGCATCACATAGAGACAATTAAGCCCCTGGATGTCTTCAGACCTACCTGACAGCATCAGGCTTACCACAAGAACTTGGAGAAGTGGAGTTTTCTCCTAACTCCTCCAAGGAAGGAGACGTCTTCGCTATTTTGGATGTCTCCTTCTCTAGCTGGCTAAACAGCAGGTGCTTTTGCCCCAGTTTAGCCAAGGCACCCTCCAGTAGCCCTTGTGAGGGTGTGATAGAGGGCTTAAAGCATCTTGCCTTAGAGTCATTCATTTCACAATGTCGCCTCAGGTTCACACTTCCAACCTGAGAGGCATTAGTAAAAGAATTGAGATTACCTATGAATAACTAATAACTACTAATTTCTAGTTACTTTCTTCTTCATTATTTATATGATGATAAGCTGAGGCTTTTGGCTCCAGCGTCAGCACTTATGGGATCTCCCCTCTACAGTGAGCCATGATTGTGCCAACAGAAGCCCCTTCCATGGAGAGTGAGAGCCCATCCTCCAGGGATGGCACCAGTGTGGGCATATCCAGACCCCTCTCTGGTGATGTTCAGCTCAGAAGTTAGGGCAAATGGAGATCCAGGAAGGGTAGATTCATCCTCTGGCTGTGTTGTGTCCCTTCTAGACATGAGAACTGGGGAAATGATAGAGATTAGGGCTAAGGATCATGGGGTACCTCTCTCCATTCGGGGGTGGTAGGGCTGAACTTTTTGCCTCCTGCTGCCAAGTATGCCCTAGATGGAATTCTTTGGGGGCACTCATTAGAGTGCAGGCTGACTTGACTTGAACTCTAGTGGATGCTGAGCCTACAGGCATAACTGGGATTAGACAGGATGAGATGGAAGAGAACACAGGGTGATCCTGGGATCCAATCATTGCTTTCCATTTAGCAACTTCTCTTCTTCTTCTTCTTCTTTCTTCTTCTTTTTATTTTTTGAGACAGAGTCTCGCACTGTCTCTCAGGCTGTAGTGCAGTGGTTCAATCTCAGCTCACTGCAATCTCCGCCTTCTGGGTTCAAGCATTTCTCCTGCTTCAGCCTCCTGAGTAGCTGGCACTACAGGCATGCACCACCACATCCAGCTAATTTTTAAAAAAATTTTTAGTAGAGATGGGGTTTCACCATGTTGGCCAGGATGGTCTCAGTCTCCTGACCTCATGATCCACCCACCTTGGCCTCCCAAAGTGCTGGGATTACAGATGTGAGCCACTGCGCCCAGCCTTTTTTTTTGAGATGGAGTCTCAATTTGTTGCCCAGGCTGGAGTGCAGTGGTGCGATCTCAGCTTACTGCAACCTCCACCTCCTGGGTTCAAGTGATTCTCCTACCTCAGCCTCCAGAGTAGCTGGGACTACAGGCACTCACCACCATGCCTGGCTAATTTTTGTATTTTTACTAGAGGTGGGGTTTCACCACATTGGCCTGGCTGATCTCGAGCTCCTGGCCTCAAATGATCCATAACCTTGGTCTCCCAAAGTGCTGGAATTACAGGCATGAGTCATCGTGCTTGGCCAATTTTTTGTGATTTTAGTAGAGCCGAGGTTTCACCATGTCAGTCAGGCTGGTCTTGAACTCCTAACCTCAGGTGAGCTGCCCTCCTCAGCCTCCTAAAGGAGATGTATTAGAGGTGTGAGCCACCCCCTTCCCCAGCCTTATGTGGTTCTCCGTGGATCCTGGACCCGCCTCTATCTGAGCAGAGAGACCTGATGGAGATCTAGATGTGAATGAAGGCATGGCCTGGAAGGGATTGCCCCAAGAGAAAATATGTGTGCCTGGGAGAAAAGCCAGGGTTTAATCTTGAGGAGCCAATTCCTGGTGATGGAGAAGAAGCAGAACCTAGAAAAGATTCTGAGAGGCAGGACAAGCAGCAGGAGGAAGTTGAGGTCACAAGGGACAAAACTTTGAAGATGCTACCAAGATTTAGTTAAGACAAGGATCAAGGACCACAGGCAGATAAACTTTTAGCTATATGGTATTCCATGATGACTTTTTCAAGAACAATTTTGGGGGAGGAGTGGCAGCACACTGAGGTGTCAAGTAACAAGGATATGGAGCTTGTGAGGACAAATGGCTTCAAGAATTTGACTGGAGGGTAGGAAGGGGAGATGAGGGACTTGGGGTCTTGGGAGATATCTAAAGAGAAGTGGCTTGTAAGTGCTTAATTGCTGGAAAGGAGGAGGAAGGAGCTTGGAAAGGAACAGTAGCAAATGTGAAGGGGTCTGCAGTGTGAGCCTCCTGGAAACCTACCGGCAATCACAGGAGGGTGGCACCAGGGCTCCAAGTGAGGGCACTGAAGAGCAAGTCCAAGGTGAAGTGGGACAAGGAAGGTCAAGGTCTTCAAGTCAGGGTCTGTGCAGGCTGTAACAAGCTTTGCCACCACCATTTCTGTGCGGGCCCTCTGAATCCAACTGACAGCCCCTGAAAGGGGCAAAGGCTCTCTTCCCCCGTCATGGGGAAGGGTCTACCCATAGACTTCTGGGAAGGCCAGATGTGAGGTAGGCCAGGGAGTTAATAGGGAGAGCCAGGGAGCTCTCAACTCATGACTAATGGAGATTTGAGAATGAGTACCTCAGCTCCCCTTGCTCTTGGGAGCAGCAATAATGTAAGGCCTATGTTCTACGCTGGCTCCCAGAATTCCCAGCAGGATTTGGTCCCAATTGCCCAGAGTGGTAGCTTGCTTGATGACACTT